GTTGGCCTAGTGTAAATATAGAGAACAACTTCGATCGGGTTTACAAGCCTAGTAGAAGTAGCAGTTTGAGTTATATGCCACTTTGAAGATGCCACAGCATATCACTGAGAATGGAAGCGGTCAATATTCAATAGAAAAGCCGCCTTTGGATTTCCTGTCCCATAAGAAGGCCAGCAATACCAGTGTACAACAAGCTTCCTGTTTTAACAGTTACGGTCTTGTGTTCAGTCATCTTTCTGAGGTGTAGCCTCAAGTTGCTTTGGCCTTGATTTTTTGCTTATTTTTAATTTTTTTGTGTGGTTTGCATCTTCTATGGTAAAATACCCATTAGTTGCAACAGTAGCCTTGCCAAATGTGTATGGAATCCTGTAGAACCTATGGACTACACCGTAAAGTGAAGAAGCAGGGCTATTAAATTGGTTGGGGAGGAGATTTCCATTGAGAACGTTATTTCTGCTTTGGCTTTCAAAATAATATGGATTACTGGAGTGGGAGTATATGTCCCTAGGTAAAGCTGTAGCACGCAGAGGACAGGAAAAATAAGAAAGCAATGGAGAAAAAGCAGGAGAAGAGATAGATAAGAGTATGTAACAGCAGCAAAGGACAGGTGAGTGACTTTTCTATTTCAATTTTTATCCCTTTGTTCCTTTATTTTGACTTTCATGATGCTGTTTACCAGTTGTCACAAAAGTTATAGTATTAAAAGTAAATTTAAAAAAACAAAACAAACAAAAAAAACCCCCAAACCAACAAACCCTAGGGTTTTAGTATATTGTGTGTAAGATTAATCTAGAGCTGCAGGAACTGTCCTGAGTTACTAATACTGAACTTACATTGATTTTTTTTTTCATTTGTTTTTCTTTTTTTAACCTTTTTTGGTAAAACACGTAACAGAAAGAAATTTCCAATTTTTAATTTCACTTAGGTAGTTTAATAATATAGTTGATTTTTAAAATTTTCTTGGAAGCCAGTTAATTGTGACTGATTCTTAATGACCTACATAGGAGGAAAAAATACAGGAGGGAACTTGATCCGATATTTTCTCATAATGGACTTAAGCTGTAGAGTTGGAGTGAAACATATCTCTATACAGTGGCTAGTGCTTTTAAAGAACAGGGTTGACAGCAGAGTCAACTGAAATGGATTTAAAGTATAGAATTTACTACAGGTAGAGCTGCTAGTGCCACCTGTACTTAAGGTTGTGTGACCCTTTCCATTTTAAGGCTTAACTCTTAGTTACTTTATTACTTTTGCCAAAGTTCAGTTCAGACAGATTTTTTTCCATGCCAGATGTCTGCTTTGGGTTGAATTTTTTTTTGAAAGTTTCAGCCAAAGCAGTTCTGTTCCAAGAATAAGGCTAGTGAAAAGTATGCTATTTTGCTTGTGTGAGAATATTCTGGTGTCCTTCTTTGATGCTCCAGTGCCCCCAAGCTCTGAAGCAAGGATTTGAAATTTGGCAATAGTTCAGCCTTTGTGTTGAGGATGTGCCTTTTGCCTCCCTGTAAAAATCCACCCAAATTTCCAGACCGGTTTACAAGGCTTTGAAAGATTGCCATTTGCATGGGCTTAATAGGAATTTCTTAAAACTTCACAGTAAGTTTCCTTTAGATTCTGTTCACACTGGGAATGCTCCAGGCAGACTAGAGCATATTTCATCCCACTTCTGCTAGGAATTTTAACGGCTGGATATGGGTGCTGACACTGAACTAAAAGTGGGCAGCATTTTGTCTTGTACCAGCACCGCCTATTCCCATGTCCTATTCCTTCTCCCTGGTGAAGGACCTGGGACCTCCAGAAAAAGAAGCTGTCTCACTCATCTGAAAGAGCATGATAGATGTGCAGGGGAAGAATTTAGGAGCGTGTGTGTGTGTCTGGTTTGTACCACCCTTTGGTCACAGAAAATGTGTGTATCGTACTGGCAAAACATTGCTTCCTTTTCCAGTGGATATTCAGATAATAATTGTTAGGTCTTGTATTTAACCTTCAGTAGTTGAGTGGTTCTCAAGGTTTTTAATCATTTTACTGAGCTATGTAGGCATCAATTTAAAAAAAGGTTAGACTCAAACTGTACACAGTACAGTAATGTTATTTAGAGGGCAAAAATCAAGAGCTCACTTTTTTCAAACATTTAAGTCTAACTTAGACCTCTTGCACTTAATACACTGTAGTACAGCCTCCAACTTGATCACAGGTGTCACATGCTTTGTCCAAGAGGCAACTATTTGATTGCAATGGGGAAAAATCCTCCATTCTGAGGATGAGTCCAGGATTTGTACAGTAAAGGATGTGTATCATCTGTTACAGAAGTTGGAACATGTGGAATAAGTGAAGCAGAGGTTTCAGGAATTAAAAAAAGGCTTTGTGGCTAAGACAGTTGAATGCTGCTTGATGAATCGTATGAAATCTGTGCTTAGTGATGGTGTTTTTACATGATGCACTCAAATAATTGTTCCTAGGTGGCTGCTCATACTGTGTGTTCTGGTGGCTGGTTTGAGAACTCTTATCAATTTGCAGAAATGCAGACACTTAAAACTGCAAGTGAACTCAGTGGGAGCTAAACCTCATGTAAAATACTGTATGTTACTAAGGACAGGTTCAAAGTATGTGAAATTTGACATCTGGAACTAGGGAATATATTAATCTAATTAACGAACCTAATGCCTCAGTTGCCTGTTTTGCAGATGTAGAAATTACTTGTCCCATCTCTGTAGAAAGGCTTGTGAAGAAATTGGTTGCCTTTGTAGCTGGACTGGAAAATAACATGCTATAAATAAAGCATATAACCAACCTCCCATTGATCAGGGATGAAACAAAGCATTGATAAATATGTAATCAAAAATGTATTTATGTAATAAGATGAAAGTATCTTATTACATTAATAAAATTGCCTTTGCAACTGGTAACTTTCCTATGCTTACCTTTATGATCCTAATAATTCTCAAGTAAAAGATGTGATTTTTCTTTGTGAACTTAATAAGCATCCAACTTCCTTTTGTACAAACAGTCCAATTTTGCCAATCCCTTGGTAGCTCACTTGGTTCTGGAGGTAGAGTCATCATTTCACTCTTTGCAATTTCTTTCTCAATAAAGCATACAAACGTAAACTATATTGGATCTGTCTGAAACCAATGATGTCAAGTTGTATATCTATATATACTACTGTAGAAAGTGATACTTTTTTTTTATACTGTATTAACTAATCCATTTCATACTGATCCAAGCCTAAAAATCCCAGTATCATAGTTCTGGAACTTAAATTTTCCACTTTGAATCAGCAGTTGAAATTTGTAAACTGTGAGAATAGTATTGAAATGTAAATTTAATTAGCAATAACCTTTTAATTCTCTTCTAAATCATAGCCACTTTACCTTAGCACTAGGTTGAATAAAATATTACTGGGATCCTCATCTTTTCTGTTCTCTGTGGAAGTGGAAAGCATACTTGCTCAAACGGTTGACTACTACCTCACCATGATAAATTTCCCCTTTGTAAAGCAGCTTCAACAGACATAATTTTTATCACTTCCTAAAGCCAACTTTTACCTGCAGTTTCTTATGCAAAAGAAAGATTTTGTAGGTTTTTTTAGAAAGCGACAAATAGGTGGATGTGTGTTTGTGGAGGTGTCTAGCTCCTTGTAGTGAAAAGATTTGCTGCTAAGGATTAGTGAATGTAATGCTTTGGAAATTATTTGTTGGAGAGCCTACAGCAGTGAGAAATTTTAGGTTGTGGTGGCTTTCTTCTGTTAAGGTGGAGGTGTGAGAGGTTTTTTGTCTCTTTAAACTTAAAGTAGTCATAAAACTTAAAAAAAAAAAAAAAAAAAAAATCTTGTTTCTTGGGTCATTCCCGCAGGGTGTTTGCTGCCTCTGAAACAGTAGATCTCAGATGGGTCTTTTTAAAAGCTTCAGCAATGGCAAGGCTTTTGACAGGATGTTTGTCATGCAGTATTTTCAGGAGAAAGATGGGGATTTTGAGCTGCTCAAAGCATAGATCTTCCTTAGAGGAATTTGGCTGCTAAGAACAGCAGTTTTATTTGCTTCGCTGTGTGAAATCCACTTGCTTGTGGACAACTGTTATGGGTTTTGGGTTGTTTTTTTTTTCCCCCCAAGACTTCCGCTTAGTTGTGTGCTCTTCCATATGTGTTTTGAGCTGTGTGCTTTGAAGTTGGGCAACTAGCTTTAAACCAAAGCTATTACCACACTTCTGTATAGCATCTAGCTTGATTTCAGCATGCTGATGTGTCAGTGATGTGGTTTAGAGTTAACGAAATGCAATTCTTTGCTTGCTTTGACATTGGTTTCTGTAGGATTAAAATTAAAGAAGAAAGAATAATCATATTACACTTAGTTTGTATGAAAGGCAAGTCAAAATGGACTTTAGAATGTGACTAAATGGCTGTGCAGCAATTATTAACTGGCCAGGTATCTGTCTTGACACATAGATGAGATGAAGTCTGTGAGTTATCTGGTATTTTTCCCTCTGTCACCTTCCTCTTCTTCCTCCTCCGTCCCTCTAATTTAAGGGATTTCTGAAAACCCAGACCTTATGTGGATTTAGTTTCCTATGTAAGTCATTCTAGTGTATTTTAGTTCAGAGTGCTTAGATAAAACAATTTAACTTTTTAAGATGCATATCTTCTCTCACCTTTGAGTAGTGTACTTCATTAACGAGATCCAAATAGTAGTGCTTTGACTTTCTAGAATTTATACTTGTCTATATTTTTATATATTGATTTTTATTTTAACATTAAGGCACAAAATAAAGGGTAGATTCTGAAAGGCAAAAGCAAACACAACTGTAGTCAACTGAATTAATTTATATGCAGTTATACCAGCAGTAAATTAGTTCTGAGTATTCAACTGTACTATTTCAAATTCAGATTTTAGTTACTTTTTCAAATTATTTGCAAGACTGTTCTATTAAACAGGTTTAATATGTGATCGCTTATATTAAGTATGTTAATTGTTTCTAAATGTTTTGCTTTTTTGTCTTGTTTTTGGCAGCAACTTGAATTAGTGGAACCAAGTGGCTGGATTCATGTTCCTTTAACAGATACTCATAAGAAGCCTATTCGCACGTTTATGATTCAGATTGCTGTTCTAGCTAATCACCAAAATGGAAGAGACACTCACATGAGACAAATCAAAGTGTACACCCCAGTGGAAGAGAGCTCTATTGGTAAATTTCCTAGATGTACAACAATTGATTTCATGATGTATCGCTCCATAAGATAAAATTTCTTAATAGAAATAATAAAGGTGTTTTTTGATGGCAGTATCATTGCTTAAGTACTCAAATACTTAAAAAACAGGGTTTACTTCAGTGTAATTATACCTTCATGTTTATACTTTGTACAATTTTGAAATAAAGATAATCTTGTGCTACAGCATATTGTAGTCTGTAACTTTTCATTACTTTTGCTTGCAGTTTTTGAATGCTCTTGTACAATCTGAGAGGAAAAAAATGAGGCACTTTAAAAGAACATAATTATTGATTCCCAGTCACAAATGATTTGCTATAATACGGTGCTTTTTTTTCTTCCCTTGATTTCTTCCCTTAATGATTATGCATGCTGTGATCATTACTGTTTATTCCTCTACCTAAAAGCTGTTTGGTTTAAAGAGCATCCTTCTCAAACAGACATAGTTTAAAGACATTACCAGTAATATTTTCCTGTCATTGTTCACATTAATGCATTCTACTCATTTCTGTGTAGTTTTTTTTCTGCTTAATGACTGCCTGCATGGATTTAGGCTTCTTCATAACTGTGAAGTAGATTATAGAATCTTAGAATATCTCAAGTTGGAAGGGACCTATAAGGATCATAGAGTCCAACTTCCTGCTCTTTGCAGGCCTACCTAAAACTAAACCGTATGACTAAAAGCATCGTTCAGACGCTCCTTGAACTCTGACAGGCTTAGTGCTGTGACCACTTCCCTGGGGAGCCTGTTCCAGTGACTGATAATGAAATGAAGATGACAGTGACATCACGAAAAAGTAACCTTTCCGGATTACACAGTATAGTATATACATTAATATAGATAGATTGAGTACAGGTCATATAAACATGATAGCTGTTCAAAACAGGAAGAGAGTTAGGAATGCTCCAACTTAATACAGTAACAGTAGGAATGAATCTGAAGGTCCAATGTACCCCCTAAAATACTGGGAACTCAAGTGTATAACACAAGGTAGTCTCAGACTCATAGCATGGAGTTTCTTTAATGTGTTTTAAAGTAAAGAACACTGCAAGGAAAATGTATGCTTAGTCTACGTGCTATAAGTAAGGATATTTAACACTTCTAATATCTCATAATCTAATTACCAATTATTTCACCTTTTTTTTTTAAAAAAAAGTAGATTTTAGAAAAAGAGGTTGTTGAAGTACAACGGTTTCTTTTTAAAATGATCAGTACTGATCAAACCCATTCTTCCTCCTAGCACCATAAAAGTTGATGGTAAATCCAGACTAATCTCAGCCAAGGAAAACTTCTGACATTCCTCTTAATTAAGAGCAAGGAAAGGATAATAGGTGGAGGCTCATTAAACAATGATGTAGCATCCTCCAGAGGAGAAGGAAGGTGAAATAGAGGAAAATGGGAAGGCTCTCGAAGAAAGATAAAGATTCAGCTCTTGAAATCCTTTATATACTTAGTGAAGTAAGCTGCTGTTTACTGAACAGCTTTGTCCTCTGGCTGAATTCCACAATCTTTAGGAGGCTTATTAAAATGGGCATTTCCTGATAATGAACCTTGTAAGGAAGTCCATGACTAGCCTGAGTTCTCAAATGCAGATTCAATCATTTCAGGGGTACCTTAATGGTATTTTACCTTTCCATGTAAAGGATGTATCAACAGCAGAAGCTGCTCAAAACGGTGCTTTTCACCAAGTCTCTCAATTCAGTGGATTTTATTATGTGGTGTAAAGGAGTTGTACATTCCTATTCACTTACTAGAAGTGGAGTTTGTACTGTTTATGTACCACTTCACATTTTTCTGTCAAAAAAAAGGCAACTAAAAACACATGCTGTCCCCAACTGGATTTATCCAGTTATTTTGTTGCTAAGTTATTGATATATTTTAAAGAAAGGAGATTATTAGGCATGTAATTTTCCTGTTTTTCTCCAAGAAGGTATATGCAGTTATCCATCCTAGCTTTGTATTGTCAAGCCAATGTTCCCTACTTGATGATTCTACCACAGATAATTCTGTGGTAATTCTGAACTCTATTCAGTAACACTTACAATATTTTGATTCAAAGAAACATTAAAGTATTCTTTTCTCTTACATGTCACTCTACATGATTTATTACATGCTTGAAAAATATATGCATTTATTCTCTCATCGGTTCATAAAAGATCTGTCCTTGAAATGGACATGAATACATTCTGCATGAACCATCCCCAAGAATGGTTCAGGTAAGAGTTCAAGGGTTGCCTAAACAATTAAATCTGTCCAAGTTAAGGGCGCCTCTTTCAAAGCAGCACCCATTATCTTTGGGTTAATGAAGTCCAAGTAATATTGCTCTGACAAACATTATCCAATAGACTAGACTAGATGAACATTATCCAGTTCATTGCTACAGACTAGGAACAGGCCTGTCAGTGCAGTCTTGTTCTGCTTATTTCTGCCCTGCCTCAGTAGGCATCATTTTTGGATCTTTAGAGAGCTATTCTTGCTTTTACTGATTTTTCAGGGCTCCTATGTTCATGCAGGATAGGTGCCAGTATTTGTCTCCAAAATTCAGAATTGTTATTCCTGACAGTGTAGTTGGATAAACTGAAACATAGCTTGACTACTTACCCTGTTACTCTGAAATCATAGATTGTGTTTAAGTGGTTAAAGGGTTAATATGTCTTTAATAGGTTAAAGAACCTATGATACCGATGTTAAACTGGATGATGTTAAGCTTTACGGTTGAGAAGGAAAATTGTACTTACAAATTAAACTTAATGCAGTCTTTTAGTAGATGTTAAGGCTGTAGTTACATTTTATTCTGTCAACAGCAGATCCAGTCTGAAGCTGCACATTCTAATATTTTGTTTCTGCTTTATTGCCAAAAATTACCATCTCCAAGGTTGAGCCTTTTCAGATGCTTTCATGGTTGTTCACTAAACTTAATCTGTGAAACAGTTAGATCCTTGGTCCTTCCTTGGCCATTTAAAATAAGTATATTCTTAGCATTGGGTGGAAGCAAGTAATCTGTGGTAAGACCGTGGGAGTCAACAGTGAGTCATGATGATGAGAGTGGGAGTAGATTAAAAGGGAGAGTACAACTAGTAACTCCTTCAACTGCTGCTGACAAAATAATATATGATCATGCCTGAAAGGCAGTATAAAAATGCAAACTCATTACTACAGTTTGTGTCTTGCTCTTTGATATTCAGCATTACTTGAAAACAAATGCAATTGCTATTCTAAATCCATCTTAAATCTTTTCGATGTTGTTTCATAACAATTGTAGATATGCTGTGTTGGTATTTAACATCTGTGCAAGTACATTTCTTCTTAAACATTTTTGGTGCTTAGTCACACAAGGCTGCTCATTTTTAAGTGATGAGATCCTAGAGGGTTGCGTCTGAAAATAAAGCAAGTTACTGCCTTTGTGTATTAATATAGTACTTAGTATTTGAATTGGGATAAACAAACTGGTCTGCCAAAACATTGCAGGAAGTTACTACACATACGTTGTGTTTAGTTGCTACTGTTCTTTTTCCTTGCTTATTTTTTCCAGACGCACAATTGTCTGGGATCTTATCACTTGAAAGAGCAATTTTGTGTGACCTAGAACCAAAATCATTGAGCATAGATTTTTCTAAAGACTGGGTTTGAGAATAGAAAGTTCTTGTACTATTAATTTATTTAAAGCTTATATATTGTCTAGCCACATGCTTCTTTGAAAGGTGTCTACAAGCACTGTAAATTACAGTTAAGTGCTAATGTGTGCTAGAGATCCAAAATTGCAAACCTAAAGAAAAGCCAGATGAGTTACGGTTGCAGTGAAAATTCACAGAAGTAGACATTCTTAGACTCGTGTAAGTAGGGCTGATGGAATACTAGAACCATTTTAATGTTGATCATGAGTTTGCAGGTTTTTAGTGAAAACATGGATAACGTTGTAGCTTGATATATTTGTTTCTTATATCTATTTCCTGCTCCATCTCAAAAAGAAATCTCCTTTGAAACCTTTAGCAATATCTTACAATCATTATGATTTTGTTTTATTTTTCCCACATACACACTTTGGTTGCTGTTTGGAAAGAGACAAGTCCTGGCAATAAGTAGTCCTCATATGTCCAAGTTGTCAGCTTCTCAGTAGAAATGAGTACAGAACTATATCTCTAAAAAGCATAAATTCAACAATTGACCTGTTTGCTGTACAAGGTGGTTGGACAAATGTTACTTCAGGGGATGCGAAGAAAAGACAGGCTGTCAACTTGTTGGCAGCTTAAAGCATACTTTTTCTTAATGATGAACAAACAAGACTGCTTCTTCAGAGTGATGAGGGAAAAATAATCAGATATTCACAAATGTGGTTTGCTAAACTTTATAACTCTGTGCCTAAATCTTAAGGTAGTTATGTGAGTATTTTGGCTTCCTTTACCGAATATGAAAGAGTAAGGTATGCTGGTTAAAAGGGCAACTGATCTTAAATAATTTTTGTGCATGGAAAAAAGAGAGCTTTTCTATAACTTGAAACATTTTTCAAGGTGTATGCTTAGAAAAGTGTATTTGACAAATAGCAAAAAAGTAACTTACAATCTTAGCATTGCTTTTAGCAAGCTGACTACTAACTGAAGATATTTGAAGTTTAGAATTTAATTCAAATTAGTGACATGTCTGATCTAAAGGTTTTAGAGAGGGGAAGAGGATGTATATTTGTATTCAGTAATGATCAATACTTCAGGCTAATAAAGGTTAATCCCTGAGTAACTGTTTCTACTAAAACAATGCTGTAAACAGTATACTATAGGTATATTCTGATGTGAAAAGTATTTCAGAGGCTTTGGCTGTTTCCTCCCACCCCAAATCACAAGACTTTCCCAGTATACTGTAACTGGGAAAAGTAGTTTACCATAAGTAACTTCCCAATTTGTTTTTACAAACCTTGTCTGTAAAGACTGATACTGTCTTTACACTGGTGGTCTTCTGCAGCTGGAGACTGAGATTACAGTGGATGCTTTTGTGCTATTGTAGCAGTATAAAAATCGGCTAGTTTATCAAGTAGCAACTAT